CTCAAATCATTCCTGAACTTGGAGATCACCTTCTTTTGAGTTTTAGTGATGATCTTTTTTGGAAATGGGAGCTTGTCATAAGGAGACATCTCAACTCTGACTCCAACTAGCTGCACAACCTTTTCCTCAACCTTCTCTACAACCTGAGCATCAGCCTTGGCTACAATTTGTCTCTCATCCTGCACAAGTTCAGATTCGTAGAAGAGTCTTTCAATCTCATCTACCTCTTTCTCATGATCATTCAATTCAGTCTCAGAGGTAGCAGCAGAGATGACAACATTGCAATGGTCTTTCCCTGGGCGCTTAGAGGTGGAAGTTATAGAAGAAAACTGGTTCTCCAAAGCCCAAAATTTGTTGTTGAGGTCATTGTAACTCCCATCAATCTTGGCGTGAAGGTTCTTCAGCTCATAACCAACATGCTTTTCACTTCTTGTCTGAGACTCCAAAATCTGTTTCAGTAGAGCATCAGTGCTGGTTTCCTGAGCAGTAGATGTAGAAGTGTTAGCTTGTTGTTGAGAAGGTTGGTTTCCCTTGTTGGTGAAGCCAGGAGGTGGGTTTTGCTGAGGCTGATAGCTGCCTTGCTGGTTGTTCCTTTGCTGGTATCCTCCTTGTGGGTAGTTGTTGTAGTGAAAATTGGGTTCCTTCTTGTACCAACTACCATTGTTGTTAATGGAAACACAACTCTTTCTGGCCCTCTATACCATCCACTTCATTGGTCACAGCGTTTGGTGCTTGGCTTGTGTTCCCAACAAAGTTCAGCTGCTCTTGTGGAGCTTTGTCGGCAATGAGGATGTCAATCTTATCATGTAGAGCCTTCAGTTCCTTCCTTGTCTGCTTATCATCACCTCTACTACCTCTGTCATGATCTTCGCTGTAAACTGCATCACTCTTAACCATGTTGTCTACCAGCTCCTCTGCATCCTCTTCAGACCTTCCCAAGAAGAACCCATTGCTGGATGTATCCAATCTTGCTATGTACTTAGGAAGAGCACCTCTGTAGAATGTACTCAGCAAGCTCTCTTTGGAGAAACCATGGTGTCGGTATTGTGT